ATTCAAAATAGAAATTAAATATATGATTACCATATCACCCAGCAATTCCAAACCCAGGTATTTTTATAAAAGAAATACTTTTACAAATATTATAAACACTTTACATAAATCTTTACTCATATTCAGCCCAAATTATAAACCACCATCAACAGATGTATGCATGAACAAATTGTGACATATTCCTACAATGTTGTATTATCATCAATTAAAAGGCATAAACTAATGATCTGAACAAGACCATAGATCTATCTCCAAAACATTATGTAAAACCAGAAGAATATACCTTATTTGTGTGAAATTCGAGAACAGAACAGGTAAAACTAATCTTGCCCAGGAATAAAAGTACAAGAATCGATTACAGGGAACATGAGAGAAATTTTGGGGGTGATGAAAAATTACATATCTTGATTGTTGTTGTTGTTGTTAGGTGCTGTCAAGTACAACTCACAGCGACCCTATGAATAGTCGATCTGAACCCTGCCCTATCCTGCGCCAACTTCATCATCTCCAACATACTCCATCCCATTGCTGAAGTCATTATGTCAATCAATCTCATTGGGGTCTTCCTCTCCTTTGCTGACTTTCAAAGCATGATGTCCCTTTTTAGAGAGTAGCCTTGTGCAGCTACATATCCAAAGAATGAAAGATGAAGTTTCACCATCCTTGAAGGCAAGGATGCCTCTGGCTTTACCTTCTCCAAGACATCTGTTTTTAAAGGAGTTCTGGTGGCCTAGTGGTAAGAAGCTGTGCTGCAATCTCAAAGGTGTGCAGTTCAAATCCACCAGATGCTCGCTGAAGGAGGAGGAATCCTCCTGTGCTAGTCAGATACCACCTGACAGTACACAACAGCAAAATAGAAAAACTTATTTTTTTTTCTTTTGGAAGTCAATGGGATATACAGTACTCTTCTGCAGCACCAAAATTCAAAGGCACCAATTCTTCTTGCATCATCCTTATTCACTGTCCAGCTTGGAATGCATAGCAGGTGATTGAGAAGATCATGGCCTTAATCAGGGCGCTTGTCCTCAAACTAACATAAATGTTCTTCAGCATTTTATACAGATGTATATATCTGCAAAAATTAACTATTAGGGGTCAGAATCTTTGCTGCAATCCCAAAGGCACATGGTTCAAATCCACCAGCTGCCCCACAGGAGAAAGATAACCAGTCTCCTCCAATGAGACTATGTGCCTCTGAAAACCCACTGAAGGGTCAGTAATGGGTCATTTCTGACTTGCCAGTATACAACAACAACCCTTAAGATAGGTGGATTTTAGTATATATTAATTATACCTTTGGAAGTTCTAATGGCCTAGTGCTAAGGAGTTGCACTGTTACTCCAAACGCATGCTGTTTGAATCCACCAGCTACTCTGTGGAAAAAAGATGGGCAATCTCCTCGTGTGCACGTTATAGCCTCTGAAAACCTGCCAGAGGGCTATGAGTTGGCTCAAACTCCATGGCAATGACTTTGGCTATTTATACTTCAATAAAATTGGTTTATTAAAGGTAAAAAAACCCCAAGGAAGAGCCTCTCCTATTGTGAGGCTGGCATAAGATAGAACAGGGTATAAATCTGTTGTTTCTAGGGTTGTTATGAGTCGTAGTTAACGTGATGATACTAAGTAAGAACAAGAACAATGGTATTATTCCCAAAGTACGTGACCAGAAGCTTTGCCAGCCTTGCCTCCAAGGAGCACTCTAAGCTGCACTTTCCCCAGAACCTATCTGTTTGTTCTTTTGGCAGGTTATGGTATATTCAGCACTATTCTCCAACAACATGGTTCAATGTCATTAACTGTTCTGTCATCATCATTCATAGCAAGTGACTAAAAAGGCCATGGATTGAATCAGGTGCACCTTAGTCCTCAAACTAACATCACTGTTCCTCAATAATTTGTAGAGATCTCTGACTGCAGACTTTCTCAGTGTTTTAAAGCTGAAAAATAATATCAATAGAACTTAATTTGCTGAATCTTAGTTCTTTAATACCGCTATAAATTTTTTTTTAAAAGATCTCTTTTGTTGAAATTAGTGCTCTCTGGAGCAGGTGCTGCAGATCTTC